GTTTAATTTCAGGAGCATGAATGTCACATCAGCTGTCACTGCTCTTGCTATAAGGAATCACAAATTCCAGTGAGCACAGTATGACATACAATTGTATCTGAATAATTAAACACTCTTACATTGCTGTATCTATTCTTTAAAGCTAAAGTTTACCATTTCTAAACTTTTTTTTTAACCTGGGAGATAGTTGATGAAAATGCCTGGTTCTCTTTGTTATCCTTTTGGTGTTTATGTTTTTTCTTTTGCTGTGTCTTACAGTTTTGGCTGTTGCTATGGGTTTCTGTGCACAAGAGTCCCATGCTTAGGGTGTTTGTAGCTCACAGTGCTGGTAGTTCGAAGCAGAGTCAATGATGGCCACTCACAAGACTGTTCTGAACAGAATTCCCGAGTTCAGCAATGTCCCACCAACAGGGAGTGGGACTAAATTTGTCCATACACTAACAGAATTTCATTTAAAAATTTTTGTTCGATTTTTTAATTCTTAGTGGACTCCAATCTACATTCATTTCAACCAAAGTGATGAGAAATTCGAAGGAGCATAATAAAAACGTTTTCCCAAAAATTTCAATGAATGAGATTTTTATTTGAGAAAGTCCATTCCCTACAAAATCGAATGTTAAAAGTAAACTTTTTTGAAGTACTGTGGAATAATATTTACCAACTTGTCAAAAGTATTGATGAGAATCATTGTATGAATGTTTACCACCAAAACTGTTGTCCCAAGATTTGGTAGGTTCCAAAAGAGTTGAAATTTTCCTGTAGTTTTATAGATCTCTTGAAGACTTTGATGGCAGGATTTTGCATTTGTGTTCCCAACTATTTGCACCATCTGCAGCCATAATGAGGGTTCCTACTCACCTTGCTGGATTTGTAGTTACATTATGGCATAGAGGAAACGACTCCAAACTTTTCAGTATGAGGGCCATATTGTATATTTTACAAATGCAAGCCAACAACATCATCTTTATAAATGAATTAATACAATTTAAAATAAATTTAAAAACATGGTACAAGAAATACCTTCACATCGGTTGTTCCCCATCATGTTAGAGCCCCTCTTGGAACTGTATGGAGAAACATACTGCTGGAGCCTTTGAGAGATTAAAGCTCAGCAGATCTAAGTACCTTATGTAATGTGAGTGTGATCTGCCAAAAAATATAAAAATATAATAAATGCAGGCAAGTTTTGCCCTCTCCCTAGGCATGTGGACTTTCCACAAACTCGAGCAAGCAGCATAGCACTTCAAAGATAGCCAATCAAGTAGTGATCTATACAAGTAACTGTAATATATATATATATATATATATACACACTGTATATATTCTGGAGTGCACCTATCCTTTGGTTGCCAAGGGGTGCACTTAAAAGTACCTGAAGGGACCAAAAATTTGGAGCTGCTTCTGCTATTTTTTTAGCATGCACCATTTACTGTAGGGCTGTCATCTCCCTTGTTTTATCACTTGGTAGGTTGGTGGGCTGTTGACCAAAATCAAGCATGCAGCCACCTCAGGTGCAGGGACAACTGACATGTGTATAATTATTCCAAGTCAGTGATTTATCAGCTAGTAATGATGGTCCTGATACCGGCAATGACACCTCCCATATTTTTGAATCTGACAAGTTCTCTTCAACGTAGGACATAAAGGTTTGCTATGGCACCACACCCTGATAACGGGAATACTACATTGGAAAGGAAAGATGGATTTTTCAGGTGCAGAGACACAAACATACATAAAAATACAATTTTATTACAATCATCAAGAAGTTAAATACAAAATAACCTTGAATACAATATAAGCTTTATAACAGTGCCTCCCTTAGTAAGTTATCCATGGATACAACAAGCCCCCAAATTTAAGAATTATACAATTGTATTGAGTCAGATGACTTCCATTTACCCTATTTAACTTCTTTACACCACCTCCCAGTTGCCCTTTAAAGTGACATTAAAGGCAGATTTTGTTTAAAAATAACAAACATGTCATACTTGCCTGCTCTGTGCAGTGGTTTTGCACAAAGCAGCCCCAATCCTCCTCTTTTTTGGGTCCCTCACTGGCACTCCTGGTTCCTCCCTCCTGCCTAGTGCCTCCATAGTAAGTGTCAGGCATGGACTCAGCACTGGTGGTGGGACTCGCCTGCCGTGTGGGCTGCAGTACCAGAGCTGACCAGCGGGTGCTCTTAGCAGCCAGAAGCTCACAATCAGCCAAACCTGGGGCTGATTGCAGAAAGGTGTATATAAGGCATGACCAGGCCTGTGCTCTGGGCCTTGGTGTATGTTTTCCCATGAGCCTCTGTACCTGGTATCTTGTGTTCCTGCTTTGTTGCTGACCCGGCTTGATTCTGACCTCTGCTGACCGTCTCCTGCTGAACCCCTGGCTTGCCTGACCATCTTTCTGCCTGATCCCCTGTACCGCGCTGCCCGTGAGTTACTGAACCCGGCTTGTGACCTTGACCATTCTCTGCCTGCTCCTTTGATACCTTGCTGCCCGCACGTTGCTGACTTGGCCCGTCTGACCACGCTAACTACTCTGCCATCCATCCATCCTGCACGGATCCAGCCGTACCTGCACATACCTCTGGCGGATCCCTCTACCACTAGCAGGTGTACTCAGGGGCCGCGACCTGGTTCCTGTCTGCTCCAAGTCCATCCCCACCATCAGGGGCCCTGGTGAATAGCAGACTGGGACTTAGACTCCGCGCCCTGGGGAATCCTGTCCTGGGGACCACTAGAGGTACCACCAAACGGTCATTACAGAACCCTACGGCTGGCCTGACCGTTCCACCTCTCCAGCCCTGACTACGCCTGTGTTCCTGCACCTCCTAAGATTAGTGGAAGGGTGGTTTGCTCACTGTGCGTTTATATATATATCTGGAAGGTTGGTTTGCTCACTGTGCAATTATATATATATATATATATATATATATATATATATATATATATATATATATATATATATATATATATATATATCTGGGTGGCTAATAATAAACTGTATTATACTGTACCTGAAACCTGCATTTCCCTGTGTCAGTCCACGCCTTTCTGGTCATTCCTAGATTCCTGACATCACACCAAGGCCCAGAGCACAGGCCTGGTCATGCCTTATATACACCTTTCTGCAATCAGCCCCAGGTTTGGCTGATTGTGAGCTTCTGGCTGCTAAGAGCACCCGCTGGTCAGCTCTGGTACTGCAGCCCACACGGCAGGTGAGTCCCACCACCAGTGCTGAGAGCACCCGATGGTCAGCTCTGGTACTGCAGCCCACACGGCAGGCGAGTCCCACCACCAGTGCTGAGTCCATTCCTGACAGTAAGCTGCTTGCTATGGTGGCTCCTGAGCTACTGCTCTGTGTGTCCAGTCACACAAGCGTAGCTCGGACCAGCCCCCCTCTCTCCTCATTGGCTCACTGGCTATGATTGACAGTAGTGGGAGCCAATGGCTACCACTGCTGTCTCAGCCAGTGAGAAGGAAAAAACCCGGGAGAGCCAAGGCTCTTATGCACATCGCTGGGCTGAGATGGGGCTCAGGTAAGTTTTAGGGTTGCTGCTGCACACAGAAGTTTTTTACCTTCATGCATAGAATGCATGAAGGTGAAAAACCTTGAGCACTTACAATCACTTAAAGTGTTTTTTCATGCTCAGTAGGAAGCAAGGCTTCTCTATCATGCAACTGCTGTGATTGGCTCTTGCAGCAGTCACATGATTGGGAGCCCATCCTGCTGGTTCCTGTTCATAAGCTGCGACCAAGAGCTGTCAATGGTAGCTTAATAGTTTTAATAAATAATCCTAAAAGCCTATAATTTTTTTTTTATTTACATCCAAGAAGCTTTAATAGAAATTTCTACCGCTGTTGGTCACAAAGGATTTCCAGCCTGTGTAAAAACAAGAATATTTTTCATTTAATTCAGATAAGGAAAATCAGAGGACTCAACCTAATTCATCTTACTGAATTAAGATTTTTCATGGAGAAATATCTCTGCAATATGCAAAGATAGATTAAATGTAACACAGCAAGTAACCAACAAACCAAAAACAAAAACCTGACAGCTAAGACAAAGCAAATGTTATTTTGAGTCATGCAAACCCAGGAAGAGTATAATTAAACTCCATGGGAGAAATGTAAAACATTGTTCCAATACCTTCATCTGGTGAGACTGATGGTATGCAGAAAACACTAATGTCCAAAATACACTAAATCACTCTCATTATTTAGGAGATGCTTTAAAGGTGAACATCAGGGTACCCAGATATTGTCTAAATACAAGGATTGTGTGTACTCTTACTTGAATCTTGCTGTGCTTTGTGTATTTTTTCCAGATCTGTGCGGTAATCCAGTGTGAAACCTTACCTCTGTGCAAGAGCTTCCTGTAATAAAGACCGGTCACTGCTGTTCTCTCTCCTTGTGCACGGTGACTGGTCTGGTCTCCACCCCACCTGTAGTTTTCTACAGGCAGCTTGTAGTGGGTGGAGCCTGGTGGTCCCTCCCACAGCTCTGCTCTCTGCACAGACTATGTGCAGCACAGTGATGGCATCATCACTACTTTTAATTTTAAGCTATTAGCTGGGTTTCTATAGACATCTGATGCACACAAAGTGGATTTATATTCTTTGAGTCTATTTACACTATATTGCCAAAAATATTGGTCAGCTTGCCTTTACACACACATGAACTTTAATGGCATCCCAGTCTAAGTCCATAGGGTTCAATATTGAGGTCGCACACTCTTTGCAGCTATAACAGCTTCAACTCTTCTGGGAAGGCTGTCCACAAGGTTTAGGAGTGTGTCTATCGGAATGTCTGACCATTCTTCTAGAAGCGCATTTGTGAGGTCAATCACTGATGTCAGGCGAGAAGGCCTGGCTCGCAGTCTCCACTCTGCTCCATCAGGTTGAGGTCAGAACTCTGTGCAGGCCAGTCAAGTTCCTCCACCCCAAACTCGCTCATCCATGTCTTTACAGACCTTGCTTTGTGCACTGGTGAACAGTCATGTTGGAATAGGAAAGGGTCATCCCCAAACTGTTCCCATAATGTTGGGAGCATGAAATTGTCCAAAATGGTTTGGTATGCTGACGCCTTAAGAGTTCCCTTCACTGGCCAAGCCAAACCCCTGAAAAACAACCCCACACCATAATCCCCCCCTCCACCATCTTTACACTTGGCACATTGCAGTCAAGCGAGTACTGTTCTCCTGGCAGCCGCCAAACCCAGACACATCTATCAGATTGCCAGTCAGAAAAGCATTATTCTTCACTCCAGAGAACATGTCTCCACTGCTCTAGAGTCCAGTGGCGGCGTGCTTTACACCACTGCATCTGACGCTTTTCATTGCGCTTGGTGATGTAAGGCTTGGATGCAGCTGCTCGGCCATGGAAATCCATTCCATGAAGCTCTCTATGCACTGTTGTGCTCATCTGAAGGCCACAAAAAGTTTGGAGATGTTTAGCTATTGACTCTGCAGACAGTTGGTGACTTCTGCGCACTGTGCGCTTCAGCATGCGCTGACCCGCTCTGTCATTTTACATGGCCTACCACTTTGTGCCTGAGATACTGTTGTTCCCAGTTGCTTCCACTTTCTGATAATACCACTAACAGTTGAGCGTGGAATAGTTAGTAGTAAGGAAATGTCAAGGATGGACTTATTGCATAGGTGCCAACCTATCACGGTACCACGCTTGAATTCACTGAGCTCCTGACAGCGACCCATTCTTTCACAAATGTTTGTAGAAGCAGTCTGCATGCCTAGGTGCTGGATTTTATACACCTGTGGCCATGGAGATGATTGGAACACCTGAATCCAATGATTTGGAGGGCTGGCCCAATACCTTTGGCAATATAGTTTATATTTAGTGCGAAGCTCCACTCTCCTTTCCTCCACTGCCATATTTTTCACTTTTTGGGGTAGAGCAGATACCTGGTTTTGGCCCTCTACTCCCGCCCCCCACACACACACACACTTCACAGGTCCCAGAAGACTATGGTACCAATCACAAGGCATAGCACAACTCATTCATGCACAATAGGAAACCAGCTGTGAAGCCGCAAGGCTTCCCTTCTGGTTTCCCTTACTTGCAATGCTGGCGCCGGTAACCCAAAGGCTAGTGAAGAACTAGCCTGGGTGACTGCAGCGCTGGCCCCTGGACAGGTAAGTATCCTCATTTGTAGCTGCTGACTTCTAATTTTTTGGGGGGGGCCTGCAACTCCTCTTTCAATGAAAGGTTTCGTGCCCAGTGTTCAGCTTTAAAAATGACATAAATGATTGTACAGGATGTAATAAATGAAAAGCTGAGTAATTATTTTTCTCTATTTGCTGTATGTGAATATTTGACATGGCAATTTGCACATTTCATACTAAGCTGTGTGGTCTAATGACACACTAGATATAGCATAAGAAAGAGAAAATAAACATTAATTTGTAAAAGGAATTCTAACATATATACATGCTGGTAGGTTAATTGGATCCTGTCTAAATTGGTCCTAGTACTGTATATGTATGTATGAATGTGAGTTGGGGACCTCAGATTGTAAGCTCCTTGAGGACAGGGACTGATGTGAATGTAAAATATATATTTGTAAAGCATTGCGTAATGGACAGTGCTATATAAGTACATGTAATAAATAATTATACTGTATAATATATATATATATATATATATATATATATAAATAATTGTACTGCAATGACAGTTGCACACCTTATACTTTATGCTTATACAGTGGATCTTTGGGATAGTCACTGCTGCTGTATAATATAAAGCAAATGATGAATCATTTCAAGATTTAGACTAAAGTGAATGTGAACAGCTAAATGAAATCTGACTGCCATCAGGCCCACAACAGATTCTGGGAAGTCGAGACAAAAGTTCAAGGCAAACTGATTTTCACAAAAGAAAAACAATCAGCCAGTAGACTAGAATACCAATTTAAGATATATTTTATAATAAAGCATTTATCCTAAAACATTTCTATAAAGAGTAGAAAAATAGCACAGCGCATATATAAAAAAAATATTCAGACCAAGTCTAATAGATAGCTCCTCGTGGGCAATCTGCTGCTTGGTAGGTATTGAGAAAGTTGACACCAGTAGTGCCAGGAGGATTTTTTTTTAGCTTACTTGGTAAATTCACCTTTTCATGAAAAAAATAAAAAGGTGAAGTAACTCCAACTATCCTGGCCACCCCTCTGGACCTTGCTGCACAGAGTGGCTGTTATGCCCATGCTGCTGGTGTAACCGTTCTTACACCGTGTGCTGCAATACAAAGCCCCAGACTGAGAATCCATGATAAGGTTCACAATGGCAAGGGCTCATTGGTCAGCATGACACCATGACCGTGCTAACCAAAAAGAAGAGTTTCTTTCTTCTAAGACACCTTACTAGAAGAAGAAGCCATCTGATATGTTCTGTATATCAACATTGTGTTGAGTAGGGAGCCAGCTAATGGGCATTCCCTGTTTTTATTATTACACTCTTGTCAAAGAACAGGAAGTGTTTCATGTTGGTTAAGATTAAATATTTCCCATAAACCCCTGCAGCCAGTTTCTAGAAGAACAGCAGTGAAGGTCTAATCCATTTTCCCCTTAATGCACATATACATGTAAGTTCTTTCATTGTGTTTGATAAAGTCACATACATAACTAGATTGCAATTGCAATTGTGGTTTGTAGGTAGCGATTTGTAAGAAATGTATTAATTGTTGGCATTTGTACAAGAGACATGTACAAGCAGATTTTAATTTCAGTTTATGTGACTGTATTAGTTGTACAGAACTATTCACAGAAGTAAATTTAGTCTTGGAATGAAACACAATATTGCTTCTGTCAGTTATGTTAGCTAGCTGTCGGCTAACCATTAGTAGAACAGCAAAGATGTACTTCTCATTGGTCAACATGATTTGGCTGTAGAACTATTGAATACCTACCAGGCAACAGATTGACCCCATAAGCTATCTATCTATTAGAGTAAGTCAGATCACAGGAGCTAAAAAAGGAATTTGGAGGAGGTTGAGAATAGAAGGGACATTTATCAGTTAAAAATACATACTTGAATAGAATTTTCTTCAAATCCAGAGTTCAGTGTCACTTTAAGGGAACTCTGGGTTTCATGCTAAACATCACCAAGCAATGATGAAACAAATCTGATACTGTAAAGCCAACCATAAATGGATCGAATCACGGCCATTTCAGCAAGGACCTGCCAAGATTCGATCCACCAGTGTGCAGGCTGATTGGACCCAAGTTGATCCATTGATCGACTTTGGTACAACCAGCCTGGTGAATATAGCGTTAAATTGCTTCCAATTGCCATAGCTACTAGCAGTAATTATTGAATTCTCCCCGAAGGGAAAGCTTCTCACACCCCTCCACAGCAGAACACAATAGTGCTGATGAAGGCATTCTCTGACCAATACTGTATCGATGGGGAAATCGTGCGATTTTCTTTCCTTCAACCCACAGTCAGTTTTTTTAATCCACACTTTGTGTCCCTTGCAAGATTATGTTTGATGTGACCCCCCTGCAATCCATTTGCCATTTCATTGAAGACCATGCTTAAAGATATAGTTCACCTTTATCAAAAAAGCTTTCTATGCATAGAAGGGGTGTCTGCAGATAAAAACAAACTAAAGTTGAATAATGCCCTTGCTGTTGGTGTAGGCCATTTACATACCTCCTGAAGCCTGACTTGAAAACTCCCAGGGTGTTGCTAGGTAAGGCCTAGTCATTACTGCTCACCTCCACCATCACAAGAGTGAGCTCTCAAATACTGAGCTCAGATCTATTGCTTCAGGGGAGAGAAAAAGCATGCGAGGGGCTTTGATTCAGAGACAAAGCTCACTCCTCTTATGGATGAGGTGAGCAATAATGACAAGGCCTCACTTAGAAATGTCCTAATAATGTTGTGGGAGTATTCCAGTCAGGCCTAATGAGGTACATAAATGGCCTACACCTATAGCAAGGGTATTATTCAACTTTAGTCAGAGACACACAGTTTGTTATCCACAGGCAACCCTTATCTTCATAGGCAGGTTTCTGGTAAAGGTGAACTGACACTTTAAACCATCTGTAAAAAATGAGTCTAAAGCTGTCCATATACTAGCAGAATTTTGTTAAAATTGTTTGGCTCAAGAAGGTTCATTCAATTTTCTAATTGTTAGTGGGGGTCAAATCAACATTCATTTTTGATTGTAGTTACAAGAAAAATTGAAGGAGCAGGACGAAAATTTTTCTCAAAGAAATTAATTTCTTACAGGGTATGTGGTGGTCGTTTGGAAAAGTCCATTCATTCGAACATCGAAAGTCCATTTATTCCAAAATCGAATACCCATTCATTCCAACATCGAAAGTCCATTTATTCCAAAATCGAATGTCCATTCATTCCAACATCGAAAGTCCATTTATTCCAAAATCGAACGCCCATTCATTCTAACATCGAAAGTCCATTTATTCCAAAATCGAACATCCATTCATTCCAAAATTTAAAGTCCATTCATTCCAAAATTGAATGGAAAAGCAAACAAAATGTTGAAGCACCTTTGAATGGCATTTTCCAGGTCATCAGATGTACTTAGAATATTTATACTAACATTCATTCAGAAGTCTACTAATGTATGGCCAGCTATGCTCACAAAAACTCACCTCTGACTTTTTAAATTAAAAGATGATCGTAATCACATCTTCTCCAAATCTAGCAGGAGTTTGAGATGCATTATACAGCAAGCCGCCTATGACTGTTCTCTTTGACAGACAATGGTTTAAAAATTAATGGTAACACTGAATCCCAGAACAGCCAGTAAAGTACATCCAGTTCTGCTGATATGAAATCCTTTTTCTTTTTTTTTCCTTAACTCCATTAAAACAACACTCAGAGACAAATGAATGTGACCAAGTTAACATAATAGGGAAGTCACTTACTGGTAAATTGTACTAAGAGTCTCATTTACATTGATTAATAGAAATTAGCATTATCGGCTGCATTCTAGAACAGCAAGTCTCAGCGTAATATTTTAATGCAATTAATAAATGGAGGAATATTCCAGAGGAGTCTTACAAATCAGACATAAATCATGCTTATCTTTTTCAGTGGCAGAACAAACATTGCAAGGGTTTCCAGAGATCTGGGACAACTTGAAAGATTAGTAATTTGTCCTTTGGAAATTCCGCAAGAAAACCGCTGGCTTTTGTGTAGCAGTGCAGGACTGCCTGTTAACATTGGATGTCGCTGAGGGGAACAACTGAAAACATTATTATTCAGGTGTACATTTATCATATTAAATTAATTTAGATGTATTATAGGTATTTGATTGCTTTCATAATGAGTGTTAAGTGTATCTACAGTAAAAATGCAAAATCCTATAAAGTTTCAAACATAGTTATATGCTTGGTAGGGTTGAATAAAGACACCGATCCCACCAATTCAACCTGAGTGTGTGTGTGTTTTGTTATGGCTTTACCAGTTCCCTGTTCATTGTGTTCACTAAGAAACACATCTAAAATTGTTTGCATTTACCTAAACTCCCCCCTGACACCAACTGCAGAAGGGAGTTCCACATCTTTATCACTCTAACATTAAAGAACCCCTTATAAGATGGAAACGCTTCTCATCCAAATTCATTGTGTGCCCATCTGTCTTTTTTACAGACCTAAGATTAACTAGTTTGCTCCCAATGCTGGAGTCATCATTTCAGGATTTGTATATTGTGATCATATCCCCTCTTAGGTTTCTCTTCTCCAGGGAGAATAACTTTAATTTTTGTAGTCCTTCCTCCTAGATTGTAAGCTCGAAAGAGCAGGGCCCTTGATCCCCTCATGTTTTGCATTGTATTGGTATTGTTCTGTCACATGTTCTGTCCCCCTTTGTAATGTACAGTGCTGAGTGAACTATTGGCGCTTTATAAATACTGTATAATAATAATAATAATAATTAATAAACTGAGGTCCTCTAGTCCCCTTATTAACTTAGTTGCCTTTCTCTGGACTCTCTCCAGTTCCAGCACATCCTTTATGAGGATTAATTTACTCATTTTATTTCAGTCATTTCCATCCTATTACTCTGAATGAGGTCTATAAACTTACTTTGTGAGGATCCCCACACATGTACTTCCTTGAATTCTGTGATCCGTAGTCACTATGCCTTGTGCATAGGCACGTCTGTGTCACACATTACACAGAGCCTGCCTTCTGAACTACAGAGGTGCTGATAGGAGGAGTTTCAGGAGGTGGAGTCAATACAGAAATCACTGCTTGCAGGCAACATGTTACCATGCGATCAGGGGCGGACTGACAACTCATGGGGCCCCGGGCAATAGGGGATCATGGGGCCCCTGTGTCCTTGCTCAAACTCAAAAAATCCTATGAAAAAGGTACCAGGGGCAGCTCATGGAGCCCCCTACTGACCCCGGGCCATCGGGCAGTGCCCGAGTTTCCAAATGGTCAGTCCGCCCCTGCATGCGATATGTAGTTCTTAGAGAGTTAGCAGCAGAGGAGAATCTGAAAAGCCCGTAGGGAAGTCATGGAAAGAGTTGGCCAGCAGACAGGCAGCACTCACAACATGAAAGGATTTTTTAAAGAAAGCTTATACTTTATTGTGAAAATATAATTATTGTATTGTATTGCTATAGTATCACCCTCCTAGTTTAGCTGCGGGGGGGCTAGATCCTACTGGTTAGACAGAAGCTGAAAAGCAGCTCAGGTGTAATAGCTAGAGGGGTGAAATTGTGGTCAGGCCAGCCCCTCTGGAAATTCCCCCTGCTCTGAGGCTTTTGGAGGAAGGCCTTGGAGGGTGGTAAGGGGCTGGACGCCCTTAAAAGTGTTGGGGTCTGCTCAGTAGCAGGAGTGTGGAGTGTGGAGAGTAAAGAGAAAATTGTGAGGCTGTGAAGGAGGCTGCTGCCAGGAGGCCTAGTGGTATGGGGCCTGCCTGGAAAGGAAAAAAACTTGAAACTCACTGCACCCCTGAGAGAGGACCACCTGTATGGCAGGCAAGGAGCAGCCCAGCTGATAGGCCTGGTAGCAGCAGCCAACCCAAAAACGGTACAGGAAAGGATCTGAGTGAGTTCACCTACATCAACTGGGTGGATGGGGGAAGGAGCACTCTGGTGGGAAACCAGATTAGCTCCCTACTAGTGACATTTAAAGGGACAGGAACCATATCCCTGCTCAGGGAAAATCTCCAGATTGCTGGGTGAAGAGGAGAATTTTCATTTAGGGTCTGGGGAGGTAGTTCAAGGAGATGCTTGTTAGCTCTCCAACAGAGACTGTGTTGCAGAAGAGACACTTGTGAATAGTTCCAGGAAGTTTGTCCTCAGTTTGTTGGCTCCCTTGGGCATCCTATACCCCCCCCCCCACACACTATCCCAGTTCTAAATCATCTCAATAAACTACAAAACAAAAGCTCAAGGACTGATTTCTGACTTTGAATGCAAGCTTATGTGGATTGCCTGGCTGTACAGGACTATAGGGGGACCCAAATCAACAGCAGCCCATAAGGGGGTGCTACATTATTACAATGCTGATATTATAAAATGAAAAGGTATGCTGTAACTACAGAACTCCTTTAACACCTTCCCACCAGGCGGAATCCCTATTTTTCACGTCCTCCCAGGATTGGGCTGCTCTATGGCACGATCTGTCACTGGCTGTGCCTGATGACTGATCATTGTATAAGCCCGCTGACGGTACCATGTGATTGCTGTAGCCAGTCACAGCAGATCACATGTTAGTTGTCAACAATGAATGGCTTCCTTTCATGCCATTCATTGCTTATAATTGTGTTTTTAGCTGTGATTGGTCACCATGATCACATGGTACAGACAGGGCCAATCACAGCCCATCTGTACCATGTGATCAGCTGTGGCCAATCACAGCTAGTCACAACAATAACTACTGAATCGGTTTCATTCAGTAAAAATGGTTGTTTATGAAAGGATTAAATGGAATATAACTGAATCCATTTTGTATACACTAATACAAGATGCTAGTTTAATATACATATATGAGATATGTACACACTAACAAAACTGTCTATGTCAGCTTCATGTAGAAATGAGTGTTTTTGCAAATCGTACAAAAAAGCAGATAAGGTTTACTCTGACTTCTGAAAAGTTTTAACCACAACTTGGGTGTTAGGTCAGATTATAGCCATGGTCTGGGCTTTAGAGGAGATATGGTATGATAGATAAAGCAGAAGAGTGAAAATGCAAACCTCATACAAATAATTGTTGAGTTAAGGTAAAACAATGTACATGTATTTGATTGGAAGGTCTGAGGGTGTGTTTGCCTAAAGACTACAGTATAATAACCCTGATGTTATGCCAATAAAACTGAAGTGTTTGCAATCGCAACTGAGGTGATTTGAGTGCATTCACTTTCCGAGATCTTGTAGCTGTGTCCAGGTGTGACCGTTGGTATCTTGAGGGGGCCCCCAAGGAAAGGAAAAAGACCACCTACCTACTTTCAGTGGTGTCAGAAGTGGGATAATTGCCAAGGTAAGTGAGAGTTTTATTTTTTAATGCTTTCTTTACTGAGGTAATTATTCTGAACTTCAGGGAAATTTGGTGGTTGGAGTTTTAGGAGCGAGACTAAGGGATTCTCGGCTCGGGGAATAATACCAGGACACCTGGCACAGCACTTTGTATAATTTGTAAAAAAGTGTGTTATTGTTGTTGTTTTTGTCTTGTTTGTTAGTTTACTAATTTACTGCTATGGGTAATTCCTCAGGTAAGGAGGAAGGACCTCGTCATGTGCCGCCACAAAAGTTGATAAAGTTGTTTAGAAAAACTAGAAAGCTGAGGGGAAAGAACACATCTACCTTAAATGAAACTTGTAAAGAATATGTAGCAAGGGTATCTCCTTATGATATTTATTATGTTAATCCCTGGGTGGATAATTTAGTGGGATGGTCAAAAAGACTGGGTGGAGCTAGTTTTTCTTGTAAAGGAGGAAATGACACTATGTGTATGGATATGATTAGAGGAATGTGTTTGCATGAACAGCCTCAGGTAGGTATCTGGGGGACTGGAAATCCAGATTGGGACAAGAATTATATGTATGAAGGGGGTAAGAATTGGTTGAAGTATGCTCCAGGCTATAAGACTCTAATTGTAGCAAATGATTTCACACCACCACCGCCATACAAACACACAGCGAGGCACGTCCTGCCCCTACAGCTCCACATGCAGCCACATTATACCCAGCACTCCCACAGGTAAAACAAGTAGATGAAGATGAAGAGGTTCTTATTGCTGCTTCCCAGATATATACAGGGGAGTCAGAAGAATCTAGCTCAGATGGGGAAACTGGGAGTGTTAGTCAAAGGGATACTGAGAGGGGTAAAGGGAAAGTAAAGAGGAAGATAAAGAAGGTAGAAAAGAGTGATAGAATTCTTAGGTCAGCAGAAAGTAACAAGGGGGAAGTTAAAGATGAGACAGCTGAGCTAGATATGATGAATTCAGCCTTTCCATTCATGATGATTGGGGAGCAGCTGATTTTAAAGGCAATAGATCCCAAAGAGCTGGATGCTATAGTACAGGGATGCCCTAATCCAAGGAAACCCCCACTTGCATTACACCTCCCCTCCCGGTACAAGCAAAAAAGATGGACAGGTCTGGTATCATAATTTTCATGTGCTCCCGCATTACCCCTGTAGTCCCAGATATAACAACTTTGGTAAATGCTATACCTGCCAACACCACACATTTTACAGTAATTGATCTGTCAAATGCATTTTTTAGTGTCCCAGTTGACCCGGAGACACAGGTATTGTTTACGTTTTGTTTTCAAGGGGAGAGGCTAACCTGGACCCGTCTCCCTCAGGGCTATGTAGACTCGCCGGCAGCATATACCATGGCCAGTAGATCCATTCTCAATGACTGGGTACCCACCCATGGTTCAGTACTTATCCAATACGTGGATGATTTACTGATTAGTTCTGTGAGCGAGAAGGCGTGTCAGGCTGATTCATTGTCATTGTTACGGTTTCTGGCTGATCAGGGACAGAAAGTCTCTCGCAAAAAGATGCAGTTTGTGGCACCACAAGTTGAGCACCTAGGATTTGTATTGTCTGAGGGCCAGAGGGGGCTGAGCCCAAGGAGAGTGGCAGCAATATGTCAACAACCAAAACCAGAAACTAAGGTTCAGATGCAATCCTTCCTAGGTATGGTAAACTATTGTAGACAGTGGATTCCTGACTGTTCTTATTATGACAATGTATTACGCCAAGTGACACTGAAAGATCAGCCAGACCGTATTGAATGGACGCTGCCATTGGTGCAGGCATTTGAATATTTGAAGACAGCACTGGTCTCGTCTCCCACATTAGGGTTACCGGATTATACTAAATCTTTTCATTTGTATTGTCAATCTGCATGTAAAACCATGGCTGCAGTACTAGCTCAAGAGCACGGAGGTGCCATGAGGCCGGTAGCATATTTATCAAAAACAATGCCCATCCCGGTCCAGGGCATGCCGGGGTGTCTCCAAGCTTTGTCTGTGTGTGCCTTGGCTGTGGAAATGGCATCTATCATAGTTTTGGGAAACCCATTGATATTACACACATCTCATCATGTCCTACATGTACTGAAAAACATTAACACTCAACACATGTCAGCACAACGCCTGGCGGGATGTGAAGTAATTTTGACATCCACCAAGAATCTCACAGTGAAATACAGCCCATCTACATCAGGACCATCTCTTTTATTGTCCTCCCTGCTTAATCTTCACAACACAAGGTCACCAGAATTGCAAGAGGAGCACAATTGCCTGGATGTTATCCAAGCTGACACTTCTCCGCGACTAGATACGTTGGAGACTCCGATTCCTGGAGCCCCTGATGTGTTTGTCGATGGATCTTGTACACGCCCTAGTGATGCTACATACATCACAGGCTATGCAGTAGTAGAACCACCTCTTATTATTGAAACAGGTTCCATCCCCTACCCCAGTGCACAAGCAACTGAATTAGTGGCCCTAACACGAGCTTGCACTCTTTATCAAGATCGAGATGTTAACATATACACAGATTCTCAATATGTCTTTGGGGTTGTACATGATTTTGGCCGTATTTGGCAACGCCGTGGTTTCACTACGGCTGATGGCAAGTCAATATCCCATCATTCTTTGATCCAGGATTTGCTTGCTGCACTCCAACTTCCAAGAAGGATAGCGGTCATTAAAGTGCGGGCACATACTAATGCCAAAGACCCAGTCACAAAAGGCAATGCTATGGCAGATGCAGCTGCAAAAACTGCAGGGCAACTGCATAATCGAGCAGATCTATCTATGGTAATGTTGTCCACTCCATCCCTACTGTCAAATGAGCTTTTAGGTACACTGCAGGCACAAGCCTCTGAGAGTGAAGTTGATTTTTGGGCTAGCAGAGGTTTGACACAAGACAAACATGGTCTTATGTCAAAAGAGGGGATTGTAGGACTTCCACAGGCAGCTGTTGTA